AGAGATGGGTAGGTGAGGGTTTGTGGCTGGAGGAATGGCTGGGCAGGAATTGGATCAGAAGGATGAAAGATAATGGAGAGGAAGGGAAGAAGGGAGAGACAAGCAGGGGAAATGTGGGTGATGGATGATGATGAAGATAAGAAAGGGGAGAAGAAGGTGGCTGGCACACTGGAGAAGAAATGATGTGAGAATGGGGGGAAATGAGGCAGACCGAATGGGCAGGAGGGCTGGGTACCAAAGTAGTCCTTGCAGAGCCCCCTATGTCCTGGACCACAGGCCGATGCTGATGTGGAATGGAAGTTTGCTCCCTCCGAGCTCTACCTGTGCTATTTCCGAGAGGGCCTGATGCTTCCTGTGCCCTTCAGCACCTTGCCCTCCTCCAAGCACCACTACCCCAGCTCCTGCCTCCATTTCCTTAGACTCCGTCCTCTGACTAACCTCTTCCCATCATTTCAATCTCTCAGGAAGATTTTCTGGTTCATTTGCTGTTGCTGCTCCTTCTGCAAAACCAAGAAGCCAGACTATCCTCCAGTCCTCACCTTTGTGAGTACCTCATCTGCTTGGTGTTGGTCCTCTTGCTATCAGGCCTTATATGTCTTTCCAGGCGTGTTCCCCAGAAGGCCGGTTTCCAATTCTTGTTTTCACATGGCATGTCCTTCTCTCTTCCTGGCTTTGGCCATTTCCTAAATTTCCAACCATGTGTTAGTTGGCTTAAACAGAAGTCCACACCACCCTCCTCCCAAGACACCAACACCTTGTTAGCTCCAGACAAAACTTTTTGCCCTAAACTGGGCCAAGACATGGTTGAAAATTTTTCAAAAAAAGTGTTAAGAAGCTGAGGGGAAAATGCCCCACAAACTGGGAGATTAGAAGGCTGACGGAGGCCTGACAGAGGAGGCCAGGTTTCCAAGGGCCTCACACACCTCTCAGCTGTTCCCTAACTCCGTCTGGCTTGTCATGGGAGCCCCTTCCTAATTAAAACCAGCATTACTGCTGGATTTGTAGGGGATTCTATCTTTCCCCTTAAAATGTGTAACCTGAGGATCTCTCTAAGCCAGGGCCTCCAGGTCGGCCCTGTGGGGGCACAGGCCAATTGTGGAGCTCTGAGGTCCCTAGATCCCCAGGTGAGGAAGGCCTTCCCTTATCTGGTTGTTCAACAGTTTGCTCAACAAACACTTACCCAACCACAACTATACTAGAGATAACAATGTGCATAATGGTGGGCCCTCCAAGTGCTGACAGTCTACAGTAGCAGAAGGAAATAGATTGTAAATATACAGGATGAAAAGCCGATTATAGAAGGAAGCACCGGGGTCCATTAGAGCACAAAGGAGAGGTACCAGATGCAGTCTCATGAGTCAGGGAGCTTCCCAGAGACCTAGAAAGGAGAACAGGAAGTTGATGGGCCAATACAGTGGAGAGGGGAGTTCTAAGCACAGGAAACTGCATGTACAAAAACATGGAGAAAACCTGACACAGAAACTAAATGCCAAATGTTCCCAGTTCCCACCACATCCCGGCTCCAGGCTATTGTGCATGGACACCTCTGTTACCCTCCTGGATCTATGACTCCAAATTCTGGAATTATCGCCCTTTCCTCCTGGCCACTTCCTGGCCCTGTTCAGGCTGCCTGATGCATATTTATCTGCAAACCATATGTCGGGGCTGCTTCCACCCTAGGGTGAAACTCAGCTTCTTCAGTTCTCTGAGCCTGTGCCCAGTCCTAGATGGGCAGTGTCACTGCGTCCTGCTAGATTCCACTCTACCAGCTGGCAGGGGGTTCTCCCCAGTCCTCCATTGCACCTCCACTGAGGTCTTAGTCTTCTTCCAGCCACCCCACCTCACTAGTCTGGTATTGATGATCCAACCAGGTGTCCCCTCCCACTTATCCTGTATCTTCAGGAAATGGCCTCCAAAAATTTTTATTCCTTATTTCTCACAAGAAAAATGTTTGATAAACTCTGTAGCTGAAAAGGGCCCATCATTCTCTCTCACACTTCTGCCTGCCCCATCTCTGCCAATCCCATCTCTCCTTTTAAAATATTTAATGAAATACTTTGCTTTTTTATATTACAAAAGTAAATACACTAACTATAAAATATTTGGAGAAAAGATAAAACTAGATAAATAAAAATAATTATTTCCTAAGTATTTAGAGAGCCCCTACTCTATGCCAGGGAAGTACCAACCTGGGAAGGAGTGATTATTACCATCTCCGTTTTAAATTTGGAGACACTCAGTCCTGAAGAAGTTGACTAACTTGCCTGAGACACCCAGCTGCTAAGGGATGGAGCTGAGATTTCAGCCTGTCTTCTGCCCATTCTCTCATCCACTGCATACACTCCTGCTAGCTTGAGCTTGCGTGTTCTCTGTCTCTCTCTCTCTCTGTCTCTCTCTGTCTCTCTCTGTCTCTCTCTCTCTGTCTCTCTCTCTGTCTCTCTCTCTGTCTCTCTCTCTCTCTCTCTCTCTCTCTCTCTCTCTCTCTCCTGCTCCATTATCTGCCCCATATGCTCTACTTCAGGGTTCCCAACCACAGTGCCAGTACCATGGCCTGTTAGGAACCAGGCCACACAGCAGCAGTAAGTGAGCAGCAGGTGAGCAAGCGAAACTTCATCTATATTTGCAGCCACTCCCCAGTGCTAGCATCACCGCCTCAGCTTCACCTCAGATCATCAGGCATTAGATTCTCATAGGAGCACTGGTCCCTGGAGCCAAAAAGGTTGGAGACTGATGCTCTACTTGCCCTCCTGGTACTATCCTGAGGCCTGAGACTGGACCCAGAACCTATCGTTCTAATTTGCATGATAATTTCCATCTCATATGCATGAGCAGTTCTGTGCAGTTGCCTCCCCACATCCCCCAGTCTCCTCCGCTGCAAAATTTTAAGATCAAGGTTAAATCTGGACTAACTCAGCTCAAGATAACCAAGGTTTGGGTGGTGGCAGAAGAGATCTCAACTCTGCCCTGCTCAACATTGCTGTCTCTCCCTACTCCCACCCCAGCGTCCCAACGCTCTCCCCCAAACTGCTGGCCCCTTCTTTCTACCTTACAGAACTGCACCAGGGTCTAGAGGTGTGGCCTTCAGGGACATAAAAGTCTGCACAGACTGCCTTCATCCTTCATTGCCTGGGGGCGGCAGCAGTGATTAGAGAAGGCTGGGGTGGAGAATCTCTCTCACCTTTCTGTCTTCCCATCCCAGGCCAATCCTGTGGCAGGGGCAGGGCCTGGGGAGGGAGAGCCTGGATCTTATCGCCTTTGAGTTATCAAGGCCCTGGTACAGCATTACTTAGAGACTGCCCTGAGGAGACTGGTAGGAAATGTTAGTCGCTCACCTCCCAGGCTTCCACATTCCTGTTCTTTGCTCAGCTGGGATAGATGCACCACACCCAGACTCACGCCGCTCATCAGGCCTGTAGTTATATGTGGCCTCATCTTACCCTTGGAAGCCACAACCTGCACAGTGTGGCCCATTTCACTCAATTACCCTCTGACCCATTCGGACATTTATTCCACTCGTTTCGTGTAATCCTTTATTCCTGCTCTCATTTACATGTTCATGTATTCTCTCATTCACTCCCTTAGCCATTTACTCATTCACTTAATTCATTACTCATTCACTCATTCACTTTTTCATTCAAACAATATTCATTGCCACATCCCCTTTGTTCCATGTCCTGTCTTGGAGGGAGGGGGATTGTGTAGAGCAAGGACGAGTGAGCAAGAGGAAGATTTCACTCTGGTGAGCAAGAGGAACCATCTTGCTAGGCAGAAAGTGCTTAGCTAAGAGAGACATAAACTACAGTGGGACCCAAAAGAGAGAAAGAGCCTATCATTTTGAGAGGCTCAGGAGAAGGTAGAAAGACAGAGTACCAGAAGTTGCAGAAAGGGTATGTGGAATTTGAACTGGGCCCTGAGGATGGGTATGAGCTGGACAGGTGTAGATGGGCAAGAGGGCTGAGTGGGGGGATGTACAAATCTCTGCCTGTTAAACTCCCCCATCCCTAGGACTCCTGACCCCTTCCCTGGCCCATAAGACTTTCCTTCTTTGTGTTTTCTGAACTCATCACCTCCCAGCCCCACTCAGATCCATCTGCCCCAGACTTGGCCTGCCCACCTGATCCCATAAGCCATTTTCTCACTTCCTCTAGTTCTCCCTCAGGAACCCCAGGCAGATGTTCCCTGAGGTTCTGTGGAGGATAGAAATGTACATGGCAGGTTCATCTTCTGAGAGACCACCCATCAATACTCCCCACCCCTCTGCAGACAAAATTGACCAAGACAGTCTCTCAACTACGAAGCAAAGTAGCTGGTATGCAGCGGACTCTGGCAGAAGGAGGGCCGCCCCGGCCGCCCGATGGTGCCAGCATCCTCATCTGCTGTATCACCAGAGTGTGCAACAGCTTCCAGAACCTGGGGCCCCCATCTGTGAGACCCCAGAGCTGACAGTGCCAGGGATTGTGGGGACCCAGGTATCTGCAGAAATGGGGCTTCAGGACGCTGGAAGGGCTGAGACTACTGCTTCCAGAAAGTCTGGCCCTTCTTCTCCAGCTCATGTGCTAGTACATAGAAAGCAGGAATCAGAAGGGGCTGGGGAACTGCCCCAGGCGGAAGATTTGGGAAGCAAGCGGTGGGGCCCTGATGCTGTGGGAGGGTCCCTTCTTCTGTTGCTGAGTAGAGCAACCTAGATGGTGAGGGTGGGGGTCACTGAATAGGAGTCTATGCTGCTTTTCTTGCCTAAATAAAGTTTCTGTTCAGGATGTCAGATGCCTCCAAAGTGTATGAGAATCTCTGTCTCTTGATGTTTTCAGATCTCCTCCCTCCCTCCCCTGAAACTGACCCTTGTGAGAGCAGGGCAGAGAGAAATGGCTTGCTCTGCGGTCCCAAATATCTTGGGTTTAGGATCCTACCTTGAGTTCCTTCAAATCTTTAGTGGAAAACATTCTGGACTGGGAGGTGAGGAGCCTGGTGTCAGTACTAACTCTCTGAGCTGGAGCAAGTTGCTTCCTTCCTCATATAACGAATGGGCTGGAGAATCCTCTGTCCCTTCCTGCCTTCAGAGTTGTTGTGAGGAACCTCTGGCTGTTAAAGCTTCTGTGTTTGCAAATTACAGTGTGTGACGAGCATGCACAGGGAACCACATCTATGAGTGATCAAGAAGTCATTCTTTTTCGTCCCTCAGTCCTGCAAGGCCAGAGCAGGGTAGATGGTCTAGTCTCATGAAATAAACCGATCGTGAAATTTGATGTCTCCACACTGCAACACTGTTTAATTGAGTGGCCATCACAGTACCACCCTTACTTATCCTAGGGCGTCCCCACCGCATAGCGAGGCTTCCTCTACCCTTCCATAGCCTCAGATTCCCCCACATCCTGGTTGGGGAGATGGCTGCTAGGCATTGGCCAGAAACCATGTTCTTGCTTCTCGAGGTTGCTTCATTCTTCAAATGAAGGTCACCAGTTCCCGGGACTCTGAAGTGGCAAACATTGGACTTTCAGGGCTGAGCTCCTGAGAAGTGGAACCCCTGCGGGGCCAAGAGCAGAGTCTTCCAGGAGAGCAGAGAGAAGGCCCCCTTGGAGGGTGAGTCTGGCTGCCACCCTGCGGGAGAGAGAAAAGAAGGTGAGGGGCCAGGAGGGCCAGAAGGAGTCAAAGCAGCCGAGGGAAGGGGCAGGAGGGTGACTCACTTGGTGCCGACACACATCTCCGCCTCTTCTCCCCTGCAACAGACAGCACAGTGAGGCCTCCATGTAGACAGACCCTCACACCCTAAACTCCTCTTTCCACCAGGCTCTGGTACTGGCCATTCCCCTTCTCCATCTATCTTTCTCAAACTTTTTTTTTTCTTTTTTTTTTTTTTTTGCAAACTTTTGACTGCCTTTCTTCCTCTTTCCTCCAGGAAATCTTCCCAGGTGGCTTACCCATCCCTGTTCCCATCCTAGCCCCCGTCACTCCTCCACTCTCTCTTTGCCTCAGCACTAGCACAGACATGTGTCCTGTGGACCCTGCGAAGCCCAGGACCTTCTGAGACCTGAAACAGCACTTGTGTCACTTTCCTCTGCTTGCTGACTTCCTGAACCAGGTTCTTTTGGTCTATTTGAGTCTACAGCAGATGGAACCTTTCGAGAACATTTACAGAATCATTTGAGAATATTCACAGATCTAGAGAACAACGATAGGACCTTCTAAGAGCTGGCAGGACCTGAGTCACAGAGAACAATGACTACAGCTGACTTCTAGCCCCCATTAACCAAGTGGGTCTCTTGAAGGCCCTGGGGATTGTATAGGGACAACCTGGCTTAATTCACCATCCCCACCAGTCCTGCTTCCCTCATGCACAGCTCACCACCCAGATAGGCGCAGTTAAAGTGGCTGCAGGTCTGATTATAGCTCAAGAGAGTCACTAGGGTCCGGGCTCCATCCTGAGAGAACCTGGTGACCAAGAAGACTTCATGGGGAGGGATCAGCACCTCACGCTCCTCGGGAAAGACGGACAGGGCCTGGATAGGGGCCCCAAAGCAGGTCCTCAGGGAGAAGAAGGTGGCATTACCAAATCTGTGGGCCACTGTCTCATCGAGGGAGCTGGAGGCAAACTGGCCCAAGCGGACAGAGTCCCCCAGCCTCTTGGGTTCAAAGTGAAGTGTGCCTACACCTCGAAACACCACCTCCCCAGGTCCCTTGCTGCAACCCTCACTCCCCTGCAGGAGCTGCAGTGCTCGGGTCAGGTAGAAGTGCAAGGCCTTGAAGGGGAAGTGCTTCATGTAGAACTCCCGGGAGCCACCGCCTGTCCGCACTGCCTGGTTCAGCTCCCAGTACAATGTGTTAGATGAGTTGGTATAGACCATGACGGCGATGCCGTGCTGGGATTTGAAGCCAGGGGGTAGAGTGAGCCCTCGCTGCTTTTGTTTCCAGACCTCCTGGGCTGTCTCCCAGGACTCCCGCAGCAGGGCATGGAGGGCCATCTCCTCTTTGAGCAGAAGGGCTGCCTTCTCCTCCATCTCCTCCACGCAGCCCACATAGGCATCATCAAAAGTATCTGGAGCCAGGCCCAGAGACAGAATGGGAATAGCCTGGGCCTATGGAGGTAAGAAAGAGAGGAACCACACAGGAAAGGGTATAAGTTCAGAGCACTGGACAGGGGTTCTGGTGGTAGTTCAGTTCAGAAATACAAAACCTCATTTCTATGCCCAAATATCCACTGTATGCAGTTTGGCAAGGGCCCAAGGGCTTAGATAATACAGGCACTAGAATCACATACGTGGGTTCACATCCTGACTTTACTACCTACTAGCAGTGGGACCTTAAGCAAGTCTCTTAAGCTTCTGGACTTCAGGTTCTTCACCTACAAATTGATACTTCCGACCTCACAGGGCTATTGTGAAGATAGCATATAGATCTTCACTACTGTACAACCTAAAAGAGGTCATCTTGTCATCAGAGAGGTTCCTGCCCTCCGCGGGAAGTGGGGCTAGCTGGCTTCCAAGCACTGTTCCGGCTCTAAGACTCAGTGTGAAGGTGATATACAAATGTACCACCAGTGTCCAATTACCTGACTTCATCCATCCTCACATTCTTTCCCTCCCATGCAGGTAGGTGCTCAGCCACCATACTAAATCATTGTTAGTTCTGAGACTCCTGAGCCCCCTCCTGCTTTAGAAGCCCTTGTCCCCAAACCTGAGGTGGAGTGGGGAGGAGCCCCGATCTGGGAGGGCTGCAGGAGGGCAGTACACGGTATGCTGTGCCTACCCTGAGCCTGTGGTGGGAGATGGGAAATAGAAATGAGTAAGTTAGAGGCAGTGCCTAGGAAGGATGATATAAAGGAAGGAGGACCACAAGAGAGAACCAGTAAGTGGAGATGGGGGTTCTGGGAGAGGTAATAGGAACTTGGGGGCTCCCTGAGTTTGCTGAGAAGAGGATTAAGAAGATTGGGGTCCTACAGAACAGTCCCTGGGAGAGATTTTTGAAGAGCCAGTCCCCCCGTCCACCTCCTCAGGGTCTGCCCCCAAACTCTTCTCTTTGTGACAGGGGATGGTTCCCCAGTTACCTGCCAAAGGGTTTGGAAACCGAGGCAGCTGAGGGGGAACAGCAGAGCGGTCAGCATCATCCCTGGGCGAGGAAGGAGGGCAAGGTCCGGATGCCGGTGGGACCAAGAGAGGTGGAGTCTTCACTTCAATGGGCTGGGGAAAGAGACCCGCCCCGCTTTTGAAGTGTGAAGAAGAGGGTCCAGGACCCCGCGCCAAGGCGTGGGCGTGGGCAGGGCCAAAGGCGGGCCTAAGAGGGTAGGCGGGGCCTTGGGTATCACTGCCCCACCCCACTCCCACCGGCATAAGCACAACCCAAGGTCTCTGCTCCCCGGACTCCGCGCCTTGCGCTTGGAAAATTTTTTGCAATGGTCAAGGTGGAGCCATTATTTTAAAAGGGGAGGGGGCAGGGGCCGGGGACCCACCTGGAGGACGCGGAGGCCGAGAGCGAGAAGGGATGCGGCCGGGGGCTACTGTCTGCGAGGGCACAGTGCTGTCCCAGGAGTCCGGCCGTTAAGCAAAGTCCCACAGCTAACTATAGCCCCCGCGGCGGTAACCCTACCCCTCTCTTCCTCAACAACAGACTCTGGGGTGGAGGCAGCGGAAGAGGCGAAGAAGGGGCTGAGTGACATGACTCCACTCCCCAAGAGCTACGAGTTCTTTCTCAAGGACACTTTTTGCCTCCAAACAAGCCCAGTGTTGGGGAAAGGAGCTGATGAGACTTGGCCTCTTCCTCTGGGTGGCCCTAACCCGGCCTCGCCAGGTCCCCAGACCACTAGGCCCTAGAGCCCCGTGAGTGTCCCCGCCCGCCCACCAAGAGGTCACCACTTGTGCACTCGCTGATTTGCATGTATTTGCATATGGCCCAGCATCTGAGCGCCACTCCCCTCCCTTCTCTTTACCTCGCTCCTCTGTCAGTAGGGTTGGACCAGAGGCAAGAGCTCTCAGTTTCAGATCCTCAGTGTCCAGCCCCGCCCCCTCCCAGACCTTCTCTCCCTGGACCTCTCAGACTCAGGTGACCCCATGTTTGCAAACACTGGTTTTTCTCCTTGCCTCCTGCGGGACTTTCTATAAATAACCTGGCTCTGAGTTTTGGATCCCCAGTCAGAGGTAATAGGAGAAGGGGCCAGCCTGAGCAATCAGTAAGCAGCTCTGGGAAGAGCTTTCTGCCGCCTAAGCTTTTGTGGGGTGGGAGGGATACTCCTCCACAGTGACCACAGGAGTTGAGGGCCTTGAATGTCAGGAGTTAAGAGATTCTGCCTGCTTCCTGCTGGGGCTCAGGTGGGCATGGAGGTTAGTTAGACTTACCCCAGGCCTCCATCCTGGTCTGGTCATTAATTTAGCCCCATCCCTGTTTCCCTATCCCTTCTGGCTGCCAGGCATATAAAGAATTTCCTTCACCTAGAACCCCGTTTTCTCTAAAAAGCCTTCCTATAGGCCACAAAGGAAGACAAACTGTGCGCCTGGGCTTGGGGGATGGTAGGAGGTAGAAAGAGTGGCATCCCAAAAAACCAGAGTGCTCGTCAGGCAAATAGCTTCAAGACAAGTTCTTCTGCCTCCTTCCAAAGAAACCGGCCACCCCAAGGTCCTTAGATTAGAAAATCAGGAACCACTCTACTGTTCACCATTATTGTGAAAAGCAGCATCTTGCCTACACATTCTGCCTGGAGGGACCAGAGTGTTTGCCATTGTTGGAATAGAAGATTCACTCTGGGACAGTGAGGTCTGCTGGGATAGTCCTTGGGACAAGATCTAGTGGGATCATGCTTTGTCCTCTGGTTTTGAGGAATTGCCTCTCCCACCCCAAGACCTGGAACCCCAAGAAATGCCCCAGGAGATGGAGTCAAATCCAGTTATTGAACAAGGGTCCTGAGTGAGGCAGAAAGTCCTGCAAGATCATACAGCAAAGCAGTGCTGGGGGCGGGGACCTAGACCCAGCCTCCTTAATCTGGGACTCTCTCCTTAGGTAAGTCTCTGTGCTCACATGAAAGGAACACATACATACAAGGAGATATTCTCTGAGGCCAGGGGTGCTGAGCGCCCCAAGACCAAGTCCAGGGGGGAGGCAGTTCTTCCAGCCTGAATCCTCCATGCCTCAGCCCACCTTCTCTCTGGCTTCAGGGATTCTCTTTTGCATGGGAAGAGCACTGGCCCAGGGCAGACTGGGCAGGGGCTAGTGTTCCTGAGCCTTGAAGAGACATCCAGAAATAGATGGGGGAGTGTCACATTTCTGAGCAACTGTGTGGGGGAGGTACAGTATAAAGGAGAAATCCTACCCTCCCCCTCGCCCAGTGGCCATCACAGGAGACCATCACCAGCTTCCCCGCCTTGGAGAGGCCTAGGTAAGGGGCACACCATCTTCCTCCTGGGCATTGGGCAAGGAAAGTTTTCTTTAGAGAAAATTTGGGATATTAACAGTGGAGTCATAGGCGTCATTAGGAAGAGTTTCAGGGACTATTTTATCTTTGTTTTATCTGTTTCTCACATTTCTGGAGTTCTATTGAATTCTAAAGTCAGCGTGTTTGTGTGGTCAGGTAAGGGCTCCCTTCCCAGATCATAGCCGGCACCTTCTCACTGTATGTTCACATGATGGAAGGAGCTAGGGAGCTCTCTTTTATTAGACCACTCATCTCATTCAAGTAGGCTCCGCCCTAAAGAACTAATCCTAAAGAACTAATCACGTCCCAAAGGCCGTACCTTCTAATACCATCACACTGGGCATTAGGATTAGAACATATGAATTTTGGGGGAGACACAAACATTCAGACCATAGCACCTTTGATAGAGAGGTCTGGAAAATTTGGGAATTGCTGGAATTTGGAGTCACATCCCCAAGGGCCTGGGAAAGGGAAACTAATGAGAAGTGTCTCAAGCAGGATGAAAACAGAAAGACAGCTTGGATATGAAAAGGAATTGCCAGGTGCCTCCATTTCCTCTACTTGCATACCTTCCTCATCACTCTGGCCCCTACCTCATTTCCCCTCAACACTAGTCACCGAAGTAGTTCATCTGTCTGCTTGCAATGGTCTACATTGTTAGCTGCACACAGAAAACCTCTCAGACCCTCAGCAAACATTCTGGGAGGCCTCACCTGGGCCTGGCCTTGGACTGAGCGCTGTGGACACAAAATGGGTCATACCTTGTCCCTGCCTTCAAGGAACTCAAAGGCCAGTAGGGGAGACAGACACATAAGGGAAGCATAGTACGATTAGGACAGTGACAGAGAAAGCACAGGGCAATATAAGAACCCAGAGGAGTCAGAATATTTCCTAGAGGAAGTGACCCCTGAGCTAAGCCTGGAAGAGTGGGTAGCAGGAGGAGGGCTACCCAGCAGATGGCAATGTGTGCAGAGCCACAGGGAGGGAAATAGCAGAGCCTCATCTGGAACTTTGTACTGTAGAAGTCAGGCAGGAGTGGCAGGGCATGAGGCTGAAGAGATCATGGAGAGCCAGGTAACAGAGGGCCTCAAACACCACCATGAACTTGGATTCTGTCCTAAGGGACTCCGATTGGCCCTACTCAGGTCATGTGTCCATCCATGAGCCAAGCACAATGGCCAGAGCATTAAAACCAGTTCTGGGTTATGTGTTCCCCCTATGGAGGTGCAAAGAGTGAGGAAAGCCCCACTTGAACCCTTGGACAGGATTCTCCACAATAAAGAGAGAATGTATTATAGAAGCTCAGGCTTCTTGGGCAGATTCCAAGACAAGAGTTCAAGTAGTTTTTTGCTGCCACGTACTCTGCCCATTAGCATTCCATCCTAGTATTGGGGAGCGGTGTCTTACGCTTTATATCCTACTGTGATGCCATTTTCAATTTTATATGCTCTGTACCTACTCTGGTCAGCTCCGCATTTAAACCCCACTCTTGGTACAAGTTTGTTTTCATTAGGCTCTTTTGGTTCTTTCTGTAACACTGCTACTTGAAATTCACTCACTCCAGCTCCATCTCCATCTCGAAAGAGCTAAAAGAAGCACGCATGTGGGTTTTGTTGTGGTTGCTGCTGTTCACAATTTTATCCTCCAATGCCTGACACATTATAGATGCTCAAGAATTTTTTGTTGATTAAATGAGTAAGCAGGTTTTGAGGGAAAGAAGGTAAAGAATTCAATTTGGGATGTGTCGAATCTCATAAAAACTGCTGCTAACCGTACTGCTTACCCCAGAGAAGTTCATGCCTCAATTTAAATTATACAACGGCAATTATAAGGTCTTAGATTTGGATACTCATTAAATTATAGACACAGAGAATCCAGCATCTCAGATTCAATGAATTATCAAAATTTAGGTGCCCCCAAGAGCCAGAGGGGATTATGGAGCAGAGATGCTTAACCTGAGTGAGACTGGAAAAGAGGCAAAAACCACCTGAAGTGTGTGTAATATTTGTGTGAGGGTGCAGATATCCATTTTCTGAGGAGAGGTTTCAGCTTTCATTAGATTCCCAAAGATAAAGAACCACTGACTTTATTACCATTTGTGAAAAAGAAGGAAAACAGAAATAGCTGTGAATTTGCTAGTATATGCACAGCATACCTCTATAAGGATACTCAAAAAAATGGAAACACCGGTTGCCTCTGAGGGAGATGAGGTTGTGGTTGGAGAATTAGTGAGAGAAGGATGTTTCACTGTATGCCTTTTGGACTACTGAAATTTTGAACAATGAAAATGTATTACCTTTTAGAAAATTAAGTTAAAATTTAAAAATATTAAAAGTTAAAGTTATGATTGATCCTATTAGTGAGAAGAGATGTAAATTAAAAGTAGATACCATTTATGTCCACCTTACATGAAAATTAAAAAAGAGATGAATAATATCCAGTGTTGGCAAAGATGTGGAGAAAAGAACACTCCCATCCATTGTTGGTAGGAGGGCAAACTGGTAACTTTTGGATGGCAATTTGGCAGTGCTTATCAAAATAAAAAATATTCACATCCTTTGAATATCTTCTTACTTCTTGATAGCTTTCTTATAAAAAATATGCATACAAGTAGACAAGTATTTATGTATAGATGGATGTTTACTGCAATATTACATGTAATATAAAAAATTAGAAAAAACTTATGTTCGTTAATAAGGAAATGACTAAATTATGATTTAACTATACTATGAAATACCATGCTGCTATTATAATGAACAAGGTAGATATTTATATATAACATAGAAGGAAGTCGATGATATATTGTTTACTGGAAAAAAAGGTTATAGAATATGTAGGTATAAGCATATTCCCTTTTTCTTTTTGAAGAAAATGACAAAAAAGAAAAACAAACTGTATATAGAAAACTCTGTATGTATATTTAAATATATTAAGTGTATGTATAAAACTATGTATGTGTATCTAAATATTATATTATTCGTATGTGCATAGGAAAAGGTCCTGAAGGGTACCATTATCATATCCCTCCCTACTGGCAGGCATGGGTAAGAGCGAGAAGGAGAATTCAGAGGGAGAGAAAGAAGAAAGGGAACTTGGATTTTGTTTCACTCGTACATTTTTTTTCCCCACAAGTGTACATTACTTTTTTTTTTTTTTATTAAAATAAACAGAAAAGGAAAAGTAGCATCGACTTAGAAACTGCCTGTTCCAATCCCCACCCCAAGCTGGTGCACCTTGGCACTACTTCGGGTCCCCAGTGTGCCCACCCACAGGGTGCAGGAGGCTGTGGTTCTCTCTCACTTCCCTTGGGGAAGCAGATATCCTCTGTCTTCTCCCCATCCCGGAGTCCCTCTTCTTTCATTTCCTGGGGGTCTACATCTGTCCGTGCCCTGGAAGCAGTTGAGGGCTCAGGGGAAGAGGGCTCAGCTCACAGCAGGACTGGAGGGAGAAAGGAAGACCTCTGGATCCCCGAACCCTACTTTAAGCCTGTCCCTGGGTCCGCCCTGTTCCAGCCTCACGTCCCCCATGAGGTGAAGCCGAGACCTCTCTTATGACAGTCAAGCTCCTTCATGGTTGGACCATCTTTCCAACATCCCCACACAGCAAACTCTGCCACACGAGACAAAATATTTCTATCTCCAATACCTTTGTTTTCCTCATTCCTGTTGCCCCAAACTCCCTTCCCGCCCCAAACTCCAACCTTTTCTCTCCCAGTAGCCAATGATTGCAGCTTTATTCTCCTATTCATCTTGCAAGACATCGTTCACATGTCACCCCATCCAGAAAGTCTCTGATGTTGCTTCCAGCATGAAGGGTTCTCTCTCTCTCTTCTGAGCCGCTATTTCTATGTCATGACTCTGCCAAGCACTGGGAGTGGCACAGACTACATGACAATGAATGTTTATTAAAGTGTATAGATTAACATTCCCATTTTCCAGATGAGGTAACTGAGACCCAGAGAGAGAGAGTAACTTACCCAGGGTCACCTCCAACACGCAGACTCCTGACATGATGTCTCTGCTGCTTGTGTCCGTGGTCCTCATGGAAGCGCTTCAGGTATGGTCATCCTCTGCTGTCCCCAGGCCAGCAGGGAGCTGAGCTGTCAACTTCTTCTGAACTCTGGAAGAAGGAGCAGAGGGAGGAGAGAATGCCTGATGCTTCCCTTGGGGCTCACTCAGCCTGAGGGGAGAGCCCCAAACTCTAGTCTCTGGGAGTTGGCAGTTAGTAGTTCCCCAGCTCCCTTCCCCTCCAGGTGTGTTTGGGGCCCTTATCATGTCTTTCTCAGCTCAGTGGAGGGGAAGGCTGGATAGGCTCCCATTCTCCTAGGGTCCATCCTCTCAGTCCTGGCTGCCCCCTCTCCCTTAGGCCCAGAGCCACCCCATCACACGACGAGAACTCTTCTCTCAAGAAAGGCCCCTGGACATGGCCCCAACCTCCTTTGATGACCAGTACACTGGCTGTGCAGCAGCCATGACAGCTGCTCTCCCAGATCTAAACCAAACGGAGTTCCAGGCCAACAAAGTGTATGCTGATGGCTGGGTGCTGGCAAGCAGCCAATGGAAGGAGCGCCAAACCTGGGGTGGGGCCTAAGCCCCACCCAGCTGCCCCCACCGCCCCCTGGCTTCCGAGATGAACACGGGGTGGCCCTCCTGGCCTATACAGCCAACAGCCCCCTGCACAAGGAGTTCAACGCAGCCGTGCGCGAGGCGGGCCGCACCCGGGCCCA